CATCTGTTAACTTATTTCTTTAAGCGATGAAGATATAAAATGCAAGTTGAAAGTTAATACAGTTTATGCTATCAGCATTCTTAAAGCTCAAGTACACCACTGTTGTGTAAGCACTAAGTAGTGTAAGTAACTCAGTCTGTCACCTGTGGCTTGTGTTATGAGATATCATTTGCTCTCATGCCCACTCACTAGAAGCACATCATTACATCTAACTAGCTCCTTCTTTAGCTTTTAAGACCTACACACTCGCCTTTGAAGATAATTATGCATACACGTCAAGAGATATACTACTGTACTTACAGATTCCTTCAAACTGATCGGGGCATTTAACGGAGCGGAACAGACCTGCAATCCAGTCCAGGGGCAAACAAGATCTGGATGTTATCCCACAGCAGAGCACTGGTGAAATAAAAACACTGTAAGAATTCCATCTAAAGAGACACAGTTTAGTAACTGTGTAAGAGAAACAACCTTACATCATGACACCATTCTTCAGAACGAAAGCAACACTAAGTTAACAAAGAAAGGCAGCATGAAATTTGACACTCAAGTGCCCCATACATGGGTGAGTGGCAGAGTCAAGTTGGAAGCAAGCCAACATGGTCTACTTTGTAGTATTTAGTTACTACTATGTTACTGCAGTGCAAAACACTTCAGTCTAAGAACCTCCAAGTATTCCAAAGCTACAACTGTTTATTCATTATTCCTGGGGATAATCACATGCACAATGCAGGTAGGTAAACAGGGAAAGATTACTACTGATCACCAATTACCAGTAATTATGGTATCACTATTTCAGTTTACCAAGATGTTACAATTTTCTACCAATCCTTACGTGGTCATCTAAGTGAAGTTTTGGGTATGGTCAATCATTTTTCAGTCAGTTAGAACTTGCTTGTGAATCTAGTTTCTTTCAAAATGCCCAAGGCATTTGTTCTCATTAACATCAAAGTCTGTAAGAAGTTCAAAAATTACAGTATTTGAGCAAGATCGTAACAAAGAACTTATTTTTAAGTGTCATGTTTCATTCCCATATCACTCCGTTGAAATTTGACGTCACTGAGCTACAACTGAGTATAAGCAACTAAGCACATGGTTATAGTGGAGCCAATGAAAGAATAAATATCTCAACTGAGTGAAATCATACCTCCAATCCATGATCGTGCTAGAATATTGGAATTTTCACTCACTGATCAGAAAAGTCATTGTCTACAGCTTAGGTCCTTATCTCAAATCAAATTTCATCCCACTGCTATTTCTCCAGTTTTCAAGATAATCCAACTTTTCATATGATATTTCAGTCCTCCTTCATATTGGCAATACCTCCCAACTTTGTGTCATCTGCAAATTTTATTAGCACACTGTTTGGGTTTGACTTGCACCTTGGATGTAGTAATTTCTATTTTCATATCCTCATTTCCATTTCCACCCAGATACTTCTCCTAAGCACCTCATTACTCTTATTAAAAATTAAGGCAAAATATTTGTTTAGGTATCACGCCATACCTAGATTATTTTTACTCTCCTTTCTCAGTGCTTAGAGGTCCCAGTTCTTCTTTATTTGTTTTCCTTTTATTTATGTGGCCACAGAACCTTTTACTGTTGGTTTTAATTTCCTTGCACGGTCCAACTCTGCTTGGCTTTTGGCGGTTCTCACTTTATCCCTGCACTTTCTGACCTCCAAGAGGTAGCTTTCCTTGCTGATCCCTCACATCTCCCATTCCTTGTAAACTTTCTGCTTTCTCTTAATAACTTGTTTGAGATGCTTGCTAATCCAGCTTGGTCTGCAACCCATTCCTACAAATTATTTCTCCTTGCTTGAAATGCAGGCATCAGATATTTTAAGTCAAAGTTGCAAAAACTAATTCCAAGCCTCTTCCATGTTCAGATCCTTGAGTTCTTCAGTCCAGTCCACTTCCATAACTCTATTTTTTTTTTTTTTTTTTTTTTTTTAAGTTTGACCTTTTGAAATCAAGGATACTAGTTGCTGACCTATTTTTGTTTATCCTTCCATTTAGTTTACACTGAATTAGCTCATAATCAGTCAAACCAAGGTTGCCCTCTACAACCAGTTCTTCTATAAAGTCCTCGCTACTTATCAACACTCAAACTGAAATAGCATCACCTCTTGTTTGGTGACTATTTGGTGAAGAAATCGGACAGCTATCACATCCAGGAATATCTGGGCCCTACCACTTGTCCTCCAATCTACATCTGATAAATTGAAGTCTCCCATAATCACAAAATTCCCAGTAGTATTTATTTCATTAAAAATATTAACGCAGTGTCTATCCATATCCAACTTAGATCCCGGAGTCTGTAGCAGACCGCAAGCACTATTCCAGTGGAACCTGTTAGCTTTCTTCCCCAAAGTGATTTTGACCCAAACAGATTCTGTTTTATCCATTCCATCGCTTCTAATTTCTTTACATTCTACCTCATCAGTAATATATAATGCTATTCCACCACCTTTATCTTTACTTCTGGCTTTCCTATACAGCACATACCCTCAATACCTGAATTCCAGTCATAACTACTATTCCATCACATTTCTGCTAGCCCTATAATATTAAAGTTCATGGTCTCAAACTGTTAAAGTCCAGCTCTAGTACAGTTTACTTCCTCCTGCTGTGTAGAAGGAATACAGTTACTGAAGGAAGCACAGAGGGAACACCTCATGCTGTTAAATGAGGGCCTTGGTGCTGGGACAAATATGAACTTAAACTGCAGGGTAGGAAGGGGGAGGAGAGAGGAAACCATAAAGAACCATGATGATTAAGAGGAAGTCTTTGCAAAGCACAGCTTAGCGAGGATACAGGATAGTAAAACCACACGAAGAACTGACATACACAGCAGCCAGTCTTCAAGACAAGATTCCCAAAAGTAAACAAACTAACTTAGAATGCCTGACTGAAGCAACAAAACCAGCCTAGTATTGCAATTTCTGATACGGTCTGCACGGATATATAGTGTGTTTCTTCTTCTTCTGTTCACTGCTAGTTGATTTATTTTCCTCCCCATAGCTACAATGAACACACTTGTACAATATTCTGTTTTGAGTTTATTTTACAAAATTTCACACACACCCCGCCCCCAAAAAAATGTATCTAGGAAGTGAAGTCATTTATTTGTTGTGAAACTATAGCAGCCACCATTATTGTTCATTTTTAGCACTGTAGCTCATCTGTGTAGTAACGCTGCTGTCTGATTAGATGTGCAATCATTCGCATCATGAATGCTTGCCCTCTGACACAGTAAAATAACTTGGCCTAGTATTGCAAAGCTAATCCAACATCAGAGCAGTTCACAAAACTAAGATAGTGATTTATGTTTGTTATGTTCATTTGTTTTCCATTGCTTTTAGAACAATGAACAGCGTCACAGTTTAACCTTCAATTTTAAGCCTGTATAAGTTTAGGTATCACATTCAGACCAGGTGGAGGGAATTACAGTGTTGTCAACTTGCAGTTTTACTGTGAGTCTTGAAAGTCTGGCCAGAGCTAGAGTCATCTCATGACGACACAAGAAGCACTAGCCCTCTTGTAAACTTCAGCCCTGCCTGGGGGAATTCTCTCTGATTGCCCTCTCCTGGGAAAGAGCAGCCAATCATGGTTTCTGCAGGAAGCAGGTAAAGTTCTCTGCCCTAGCAGACACCATTCTCAAGGAGGGAAAGGACCAAAGAGCCCCACAGCTCAGGGCAGATCCTTCTCCTTCCTCCCCCCTAAGTTGCTCCCTTGTATTACCCCTTTTACATTTAAGACCATGAAAGAGACTGAAACCTTGAGCCAAACAACCAAGTAAAAGAAACCCATCAACAATCCTGAAACATGATTTATCAAGACACTGAACAAATGTTTGCAATTATAAACCAAGGCAATACACAGTGACCTGCCATAAAAGGATCAGTATGAGCTCAAGTTTCCATCAATTCCTACAATATCAGATGTTAGCTTGCTCGTTATCAAAGAGAGGTTCTGTACCCTTTCCAGCATTCATGATTAAGGCAGTCTGGATCCTTGGATGCAACTGGATTCAGAGTAATGCAAACATTCAGTTTGTGCTCTATATCCTTCCTTCCTGCCATACCACCTCAATTTCTCATGCCAGCAGAAGTAGCCTTTCCTTACAAGCAATGCCATTATTTTATCACTGAATCTACGATATGCCAACAGAAGGGACCCAACTTGTGTAGCACATATTTTATGAAAACACTAACAATGGCCCATTCTCTTTTCCATTCCAAGACACTAAAATCATTGTTTTGAAATGGTCTCACAAAAGTAACAGTGTCTGGAAATCCAATGAGCAGATTACTCTAGCTAAGTTGCAAATGGCAGCACTTATTTTTTGCTCAGTAGTCACACGCTGTAACACATCAGAGCTATAATAGCTGCAGAGCAACAGCCAGATGTTGGTTGCCCTATGGATTTGGGCTAAACAGTTGTCACATCTGCTGCTGTGCTGCCAAGAGTTGTCCCCACTAAGATCAAGGTACAAGCCATCTGCCACTTAGTTCATGAACTTGGGCAAGTCACTGAAATTCTGTGCCAGGTGTAAAAAGGAAACATTACCCTGCTTCAAAAACCTGTTAGGCCCGCACATGCGCTCTTCCTCCTCGTGATGCACTACTAGGACAGTCAGCGCGTACGGGCCAACCCCCCTCAGTTCCTTCCCTACCACAGAGTCATTGACAAGAACTCCACAAAGTACAGGGCAAGAGGATGGGTTGTGGCGCACCCATAGAGGGACACATCTCTAAGAACCGTTGTTACTGCACAAGGCGACTAACTTCTTCTTTGAGTAGTGTCCCTAATGTAGGTGACTCCCGAGCAGTAACCCTACTGAAGGGCTGGGGTTTCGGAGTCGGATCAGTTACAGATGACAGCACTGTGCAGGCGAAGATGGCATCGGAGGCGGAATCCCCAGTGATTGCATAATGTTCTGCGAAGATGTGCCACTCTACAGATCTCGGAGATAGGAGCCTTCTTGAAGAAGGCGACAGATGAGGAGATCGACCTTGTGGAGTGTGTACAAATAGTATCTGGAGGGTCATATTGTGAACTTGGTAACAATGTCTGATATAGTTCAAGACCCACTTAGAAAAATCTTTGGGCTGACATTGCTGAGCCCTTGGGTCTTTCTGCAATGGAAAGGAAAAGCCTGGGGGCTTCTGAAGGCATTCATCCTGTCCAGGTAGAAGACTCTGGCTCTCCTGACATCTAGAGGGTGTAATACAGCCTCCCTGTGCCTTGGGATAGAAGGTTGAACAATGAATTAATTGGTTCTTGTGAAATAAATGGGGAGACTATCTTAGGAATCAAGTTTGGATATGGTCTGAGCATAACCTTGTCCCAAAAGAATACGGGGGGGGGGGAGATGTGCCCGCAGAACCGCTATTT